TCGGCTCAGGTCATGATTCCAGGGTCCTGGGATCGAGCCCCGCATTGGGCTCCCTGCTCGGTGGGAAGCCTGCTTCTCGCTCTCCCACTCCCCCTGCTTGTGTTCCTGCTCTTGCTGTCTCTCTATGTCAAAAAAATAAATAAAATCTTTAAAAAAAAAAAATCAGATATAATCTGAATCTTGTCCTTCGTTGCCCTGATGATTGCACTTAGCACCATTGTGAGCACACAGTAGGTGCTTGTTAATGTTTCTTGGATGAAGCATTTATATATTCCACCTACTCTAGTTTATGCTTTTCTTTCTTTCATCGTATATGACTACCTCTTTTTTTTTTTGAAGATTTTATTTTTAAGTAATCGCTACACCCAACGTGGGGCTCGAACTCACACCCCTGAGATCAAGAGTCGAGTGCTCCACCGACTGAGCCAGCCGGGCGCCCTATGACTATCGTTTTCTCTGGATACATCCTCAATTTCTCACAGAACCACAAGCTCCAGAGGGGACCGTTACTTCCTTTCTTTGTGTGTGTGTGTCTCCTTGGAACATCTCTCGTGTGGCATGGGCTCCGCGAACCTTCGCTGAGTGAGTTGAAAGGATCAGTATATGGTAGCATGCCAGCTAACGAGGTATGGCCAGAACTACCCTGTCCACTGTGGGTGGTTTTGCTTCAGCTGTATGTTTTGGATATGTATTTTAAATAGGCATACGCATCCTAAAAACATGGATTTTACACGGAATTCACAAAAGGAGGAGGGAGCACCCAGGTCCTCGGGAAGCGGACCGAGGTGGTGCAGAAGTAGAGATGCTCCCGGGCACTGGCGGCCGAGCTGTCGGTGAGGAGGGGGCTCCCGACCGATGGGCGTTTGCTGCAGTTCCCTGTTTCCGGGCAGGGCCCGTTTCTTCAGGTTCTTCTTGTTGGCGGACTCTGGTCAGGTTGTAAGTGTGTGAGAGTTTTCAGGGGTTAAGGCTGTCATCACCACAGATCAAAGACTCTTAACAAGAACGGAGAGCCTAATCATGAAGCTCTCAGAACACAGTTTGGTTTTGTTTTTTTTTTTAAAGATTTTATTTATTTATTTGAGAGAGAATGAGAGAGAGAGAGAGCATGAGAAGGGGGAGGGTCAGAGGGAGAAGCAGACTCCCTGCTGAGCGGGGAGCCCGATGTGGGACTCGATCCCCGGACTCCAGGATCATGACCTGAGCCGAAGGCAGTCGCTTAACCAACTGAGCCACCCAGGCGCCCTCAGAACACAGTTTTGAGAAATTGGTAGCTCTGGGACGCCTAGGTGGCTCAGTTGTTAAGCGTCTGCCTTCGGCTCAGGTCATGGTCCCAGGGTCCTGGGATCGAGTCCCGCATCGGGATCCCTGCTCTGCGGGAAGCCTGCTTCTCCCTCTCCCACTCCCCCTGCTTGTGTCCCTCTCTTGCTGTGTCTCTCTGTCAAATAAATAAATGAAATCTTAAAAAAAATTAAAAAAATAAAAGTAAGGGCTGTTGTTCCATATTCAGCTTTCTTTGTGTCAGCAAATTTCAGAAGTAAAGCTGGAGGTGAAAGGTGCTGTATGCTTCAGCCTATTTTCCTCCCAAATCTTCGTTGCACCTTGAGTTCACCCAAGATCCCGCACGGTGGCCATAAACAGCGTCATACCGTGATGCAGGGTACAGCATGCACAGGGGAGAATTTATTTTTTTTTACTTTGCTATCTATGATTGGATTTCTAATTACTCAGGCAGAATAGAAGCAGAAAGGTCTCCTTCATATAATAACTGCCAATTATTTAGCCACAGATGAGAGGCAGTAGTTCATTTTCGATAGTTCAGATATAAGAAGTAACATTGCCTTCCAAGGAGTTCTAAATATACTTGTCTTTGTTTTTGTTATAACCTCAGTCCATCACAGTTTAATTGTTCCAACAAAATCTGCAATTTTACAAGTGTCTAGAAATGACTGGTCTAATTTCCTTCCTATGTGCCCGCGTGTCTCTCATTGAGGAAAGTCTATGTGAGTTATGGTTATGAAAGGGATCTGTACAACAGACCTATGTTCTATGGAGTATTTGTGTTAATGTTATTAAGCATTTCTAGAGGGCTTTGCATTCACTTAGTCTTTATTTCTTCTAATCCCCTTCTAGAGAAAGAGTGCACATTCTATTTCTCTGATGAGGTAAATTTGCTTGGAAAGTAAAATTTTCATTAAAAAAATCTAATTTGATTATTTATTTATTGGTTACATTTCAAATAGTCTTCAGGCTCTTGAGTTCCAAAATGACTAATTAGTACAATGATAATATAGCATTCTTTCATTGATCTGAAAATTAGACTGTCCTCAAGAGACCTCAGTTTGATTGGTGTATTTTGATACCAGTGCAGAAAATGTTATTTCTCACAAAAGAGTTTCTTCTCTGCGGTGGGAGAGAGCTGCGAAGCCAGCCCTGGTGTGAGACAGAGGGGACCCTGCGTGGATTTGCAGAGGAAAAAGGGAATCAGTTTCCTGTGGGATGAAGGATTTATGTTTAAGCACCAGGAGAATTCTTTGCATGTGCCTGGCACGATGCCGAATGCTTTTGTTGCATGATTTCATTTATTCCTCAGAATCCTGAGATAGTATCCTCATTTCTCATTCTGTGAAAATGGGCTATTTAATTATGGATGAGAGATTTTTAACAAGAGCACCCACCTATTCATTGCCTGGCCACGCTGAGCACACGTTTGCTCAGGAACCTAGAGTTGCCAGGTAGAATGCTAAGATGGGTGCTGTCCCTGCTTCCCCTCATGGCCGTTATTTATTCCACGCACCCATCCTACTGCATAACACTCAAACTAAATTGTAGAAACGTGTTACATTTTTTCATGGTAGCCCTCTTAAAGTAACTGGCTGGGGTACAATGTGTTCTACACCCACGCTACCTGATTTCTTCATTAATTAACGCCATGCATCAATGCCAGAGCACTGCTTTCTTCAAAACCAGTTAGAGGGCCCCTGGTTTAAAAATAAAGGGCAGGGGCGCCTGGGTGGCTCAGTCGTTAAGCGTCTGCCTTTGGCTCGGGTCATGATCCCTGGGTCCTGGGATCGAGCCCCGCATCGGGCTCCCTGCTCGGCGGGAAGCCTGCTGCTTCCTCTCCCTCTCCCCCTGCATGTGTTCCCTCTCTCTGTGTCTCTCTGTCAAATCAATAAAATCTTTAATAAATTAATAAAAATAAAGGGCAAAGAAGATTGGGGATGGCATTTCCCCTCTTGTCCTGTTATAGCCAGCACCTGAGAAACCTTCCACTGCCCCCGGCTCCAGACTGCAATTATGCTTTTTGAAAGTGTCAGAGGGAAACAGAAGGGTTAACTCCCAAGTCAAGAGTTTGAGACTGGTTGGCTCAGTCTTTAAGCATCTGCCTTTGGCTCAGGTCATGATCCCAGGGTCCTGGGATTGAGCCCCGAGTCAGGCTCCCTGCTTCTCGGGGAGTCTGCTTCTCCCTCTCCCTCTGCTCCTAGCCCACTCGTGCTCTCTCTCTCTTAAATAAATAAAATCTTAAAGAAAAAGAAAAATGTCGGAAGATGACATGAAAGTTGCCCCATGAGGGAAATGCTACAGCTAAACCGTGAGCGGAAGGTATTTTTAATACTCCTTCAGTTCTGCATTCATGCAGTTTTAGTTGTGAAGGGGTGGTGGCCCGAGGCAAAGAATAAAGCTTCCCTGAAACCAGAGGAGAATCTAACCACGAGAAAAATGGAGTCCTGACTGTTCACTCACCAGAATGGAAATAAGCAGAATATTTGTGTTGTAGAAAGTAGTCTAAGCAAAATAGAATCTTCTGCCTTTTGTGATGGAGAGATCCTGAAACAGCCATCCATAGGACAGCCCTTCTGTGGAATTCAAAGCAGCAGTTTAAAATTATATAGTAAGCCAGGGGCACCTGGGTGGCTCAGTCGGTGAAGCGTCCGACTCTTGTTTTCAGCTTAGGTCATGATCTCAGGGTCATGAGATCGAGCCCCCAGTTGGGCTCTGCGCTCAGGGGGCAGTCAGCTTCTCTCTCTCTCTCTCCCTTTGCCCCTCCCCCCACTCTCTCTCCCTCTCTAAAATGAATAAATCTTTAAAAAAATAAAATTAGATAGTAGTCTTACATATTCTCGTTTGGAAAGCTCTCCAGGAGATACTGAGGGGTGCAAAACAACATGGATCGCTTGATCTCTTCTATGTATAGATGTTTGAATATGTACAGTTGTAGGCTTATAGATGCAAAGAAAAGAACTGAGAAGGTACACCTGAAAAGACCTACATTTGGGGAAGGGAATGGAAATTGAAGAGGAAAGGGGGATTTTTGTGCATTTACTCTTTATGTTTCTGTCTTTAAACTTGCACGCACGTGTAATTAAGAAAACAGTATCAACAGGGAAAGCAGCGATTTAAGGTCTCCGTGAAATGTGTAGTGGTTATGGTGTAGGTTCTGGAGTGAAACTGTCAGGGTTCGAGTCCCATCTCCTTTCTACTGGCTGTACATGTTTACACAGGTTATTTAACTTCTGTGCCTCCTTTTCCTCCAGCGGAAAACAGGGATAATAGTCCCATCATGTAGCTGTTAGGAGGATGAAATAAGGAATGCAGGGGAGAGTGTCTGGATCACGACCCGGCACACAGCAAACATTCAGCATCTGTTAGTCATTATAAATTGTAGTCAGACGACTAAAGCTAGTCAGACGACTTCCAGCTTTAATCAGTTCTTTGTGCAAACGTCTCGGTTTAAAATGTTTCTAGTGACAGCTTTAGTAATCACGATGTATTTTCTCCAAGTTTCCTTGTGGTTGTTAATGGTATTTTCATTCTCTTAGCCCACTGGTAACCTCAAAAGGAAGAATAACAAACACAAATGGAATTACCTTGTTTCGTGTAGAGTGCCGCACGTTCTGTTTGTGGAATTCTCTTGACTTTGCTTCTTCAACCATGTAACCTTACGCACCTGTTATTAGTCAACTAAAGAGATGGGAATAATGAGGTTTTCCTCTCTTCCTTAGGAAGACTATGATCGTCTGAGGCCTTTATCTTATCCAATGACAGATGTCTTCCTTATATGCTTCTCTGTGGTAAATCCAGCCTCATTTCAAAATGTGAAAGAGGAGTGGGTACCGGAACTGAAGGAATACGCACCAAATGTACCCTTTTTATTAATAGGAACTCAGGTACGTCTGCTTTAATTTTACCCATTTAAGAAGAGTCTCTTTGGCCCATCTTGTGGTGTTGCTTTCAGACACATAGTCTTAAGTTTTAGCAAAAGATATGCATGTTTAATCTCAGTTGCAAATTATAATAAATTCTATTTATTATAGAAAAATAATAATTTGGTAAAAGTAGTGCCACACCTGGTTTTGAAAGTGAAGTTCATTTGTTTAATCTTTTTTGGGTATGGGGGATTAAATGGGACTCCACGTTTGATTTATCTTTAAAGACTTGTAACATTACGGGACATTATTGACCTTTCTTGATTAGATTGATCTCCGAGATGACCCCAAAACTTTAGCAAGACTGAATGATATGAAAGAAAAACCCATTTGTGTGGAACAAGGACAGAAACTAGCAAAAGAGGTAATGGAACCTTAACAGAATGTAAAAATAAACGTAAAAGCAGCTTGGGTAGTAATAGAAGCTGACACTGATTGTGCGTTTACTCTATGCCAGGCATTGTGCTGAGTGCTGTGCGTGCATTATCTCATTTAATCCTTGCACCTGCTCGCGCGGGTCTGACTACAACAAACGAGGGCTTGGCGATGTCAGATAACTTGTCAGGTCCCGTCCGTAATAAATGGCAGAGCTGGGTTGCAGGGAAGACCTGACCGCAGGCATGCACAGCTGCGTGACACTGCCAACAATATTTTCCTCTTAAGTTACCTGTAGAAAGAGGCGTCAGAAAAAGCCCTTTTAAATCTCTTAAATGTTTATACTGTGCCAAAGCAGACTCTGTCTTCAGTTAAGACTCATGGAGTAGGTGGTAGAATGGCATATAGGATGAGTTTAAATCTGCAGCTAAAACCAAAAAATGATGGCCAGGTTTGAAAAGAAATGTGTTGAATTTTCTTCCAATCCTTTTATGAAAGATAGAAAATATTAGCATTCTAAAAAATACACCACTGTGATGTGCATAAAGCTTTTAACTTCTGTTCTCCCTCGCCCTGAAGCTAGGCTTACTTTTCTCTCTGCCCCCTAACATTATTGGATTCTATTTTTTTAGATGTGACTTTAATAGGACCTTTGTGGAAACAGAATCTAATAAGGTCTTTTTAAATGTACTATCAGGAGGCAGAAGAAAGTGAGAAAGCTTTTTGGAGAACAGTTTTTCCTAAGACAAAAGACAAATAGCTTCACTAATAAATCGCTTTAGAAATTCCGTGCATTCAGTTTCATAATCTCAGGGAGAGAAAGGGATTTCTAAAATGTCATAGAGGTAAAATTGGTAAATGAAAATCTTGGTGATTTAACTACATAAAAATTTGATACATCAAATGCCAGAGATACAATTGAAAGTCATAAAACAAACTTGACATGTGTGGCTGAAAAAATGGGTTAATATCTTAGTATGCAGGAGTTCCTTACATATAAATTAATCAGAAAAAGACATGTATACCCCAGTAGAAAAAACCAAAAATACAGATTGCCGTTGAATATAGGAAATATGTTCTAAGTCCTTCGTTGTCAAATGCAAGTTCAATTTCCGCCTATAAAATTGGCAAAAAAAAAGAAATTAATTATAATAGCCACTGTTCCAGGGGTGCAAGGAAATGGGCACCTTCTCGTATCGTTGATCATTGAGTAAAAGCCATCTTGATAATAGGCAAAAGCCTTAAAGTCATGCACACTTTTGATCAGGCAATTCCATATGTAGGAATTTATCTTAAAATAATTATTACAGATGTGCTTAAAGATGGCTACAAAGTTGCTGCATTGTTTATAAAGGCCAAAAAAAAAAGAAAGAAAAAGCCCCCACACCTATTAAAAATTTATACTAACACAGCTATTGAGATGTTTATATTTATTATGTAGTTTAAGGGGGAAAAAAGTGGTTGCAGAACACTAGGATCCCATTTGGAGGCCTGTTGGCAGCATTAGGGGCAGTGGGTTCCTGGGTTCCTTCTTAAAATACTTTCGCCCGGCCCCCTTGCTTGCCCTCTCCTGGTTCTGTCCCCTGGCAATGGCCTCTCCTCCGTGTCTCAAGTCCCTGTCTCTGCATGCTGGATGCCCAGGGATCAACATGCGGCTTCTGGAACATCTCTTCTTCTGCAGCCACCCTCACCAGGCCCAGGTGAGCTGGTCGGTCTTGTGGTTTGAAAAGTCTGCCACTGAAGATTCCCAAGTTTCTATCTCCAGCCTGACCGCTTCCCTAAACTCTAGACTCGGTTATCCAGCTCTTCACCCAACAAGTCCATCTGGGTGGCTAAGCATCTAAAAATTAACATGTCCAAAACAGAATTCCTAATCTTCTCCTCCGCGCCTGTCCTCCCAGTTACTCAGCTCAAAAACCCTGAAGTCACGCTCGACTTTGCTCTTCCTCTCCTCCTGTGCAGGCAGCCGTGCGGCAGAAGCTCTTGTCCTACCTTCACAATCCATCCGGCATCCGCAGGCTCCTCACCAGCTGCTCCTCTAACAGGCTGGTCAGGCCCCCCTCTCTCTGGCCTGGATTACCGGAACAGCTCTGACTCACCTTTCTGCTTCTGTCTGTGACCCCATGTCAGTCTGTTCTCAATGCAGCAGCCTGAGTGAGTCTTTAAAAATACAAGCTCCATCAGGTCACTGCTCTGTTCCCCAGCCAGTCACAGAGGGCCAGAGCCCTTACCGGGGCCTAGAGAACCCTGCTATGTCCCGCCCTCACTGATCGTAGTCTAGGCACATGGCCTCCTTGCTGTGTCCCCAAAGTCTCGTACCTCGGGGTCTTTGTACTTCTGCCCCTCCCTCTGCCTGGAGTGTTCTTCCCTATGGAACATTATTTTCTCACTCCGTCTAGGTCTCTGCTCAGATATCACTTTCTCAGTGAGACCCTGCCTGATCTTGTCCCCACTCCCTATCTTCCTTCCTTAGACCACGTATTCCCTCCTGACATTCTACCTCTAGTAGCTCGCGGTGGTCTTCTCCCTCTAAAATGTAAGCTTCCTGAGAGTCGGGGAGACTTAATTTTGTTCCCTGCTATATTCTCTCATTTGGCAAAATAAGAATGCTCAATTTCCAGTGAATGAATGAATGGAGCCTCGCCTAGAGTAGAAGCCCAAGTCCGTACCCCGGCCTCAGGGCTGCCTCACCACCTGCCTCACGGCTTGCTGTTCCCTCTCTCCTGCCGGCTTGCTGTTCCCTCTCTCCTGCCGTTCTGGCTTCCTTACCATTCCCTGAACACTCCACTCATGCTCCTGCCTCAGCATCTTCCCACCTAGGGCTCTGTCTGCCTGGAAACTCTTCCCCTCCGTGGCGCTCACTGCTCACACCACTTTGTTGAGAAGCTTCCCACCTGTGTCCTGTGCACTCCCCATCTCCCCCGCTCTGTGCTCCCAAGTGCACACCACCATCTGCTCTCTGTTCCCTTGGTGGGCCCCTCCCCCGGTAGGATTTAAGCAAATATAAGCATCACACAGCGGGCACTTCGGTCTTTTGTTCAGTTCTTTGACATTATCTCCAGCACCTAAAACAGTGCTTGGCATATGGTAGGTAACCGGTAAATACTTGATGAATGACATTAATTTTCATAAAATAAGTGTGGAAGGATATACACTTAGTTTTTAGTTGGCTGTCTCTGGGTTTTTATGAATATGGATGATGATTTCATTCCTCCTGCATAGCTGTGTTTTCTCATCTTCCTTATAATGGGGTGTTGTGTCATACCAACTGTGTAAAAAAAGATTTTATATGTTTGTGATTTCTTTTTCTCCCTCCCAGATAGGAGCATGCTGCTATGTGGAATGTTCGGCTTTAACCCAGAAGGGATTGAAGACTGTTTTTGATGAGGCTATCATAGCCATTTTAACTCCAAAGAAACACACAGTAAAAAAAAGAATAGGATCAAGGTGTATAAACTGTTGTTTGATTACGTGAGAAACATCTTCAGTGGCCAAGGAAACTGTCCATTTCTCTCAAAAAGCATATGAAATGCTACAGCTATACCCAGACCTCTTATAAATAATGAAGCAGTTTAAAACTTGAAACAAAACAAAACAAAACAAAACCTGTCCTCAGAATTCTATAAAATTCATTAAGAATGTTTCTTAAAGGTCCAAGAAGCAGCAAACAGCATCTGAAGCCACAATCTACTATAAATACTTTATTTCAACTAGAAGGTACAATCTCTCAGGGGTTTCATAGTTTAAAAAGCTACAATCACACCATGTTGTAACTACATAAAAAACAGTGCTGTAAATGGAACTGCCTGGCTTAGACCATGTACATTTCTGCACAGTCCTTATGGAATCTGCACAATGAAGTATCTTCTCCCTTTGCTCCAATTAATTGTTCTTGTATGTAAGTTGCTTTCTATTCCAGTATATCCAGAGTGGTGAAATCACAAGGCCAGCCACGTAGCCAAAGGTCGCTCCAAGCGTACAGGAGATGGGCCATACCTGAGGAGAGAATGTATGAGATCAAAAAAGAATAACTGTTTTATTATTACTTGAGCACAAGTTAAGTGTAACCTAAATATTTCTATATTAAAGCTTAATGTGCTTTCTTAAAGAATGTCAAAAGTGTAACAAGGTCATAACTGCATTTATCATGAACACTAAAAATGTACACATTCTAGTTAATGTACATTCGACTGTAACAAGGCTTCTGGCGACTGTAGATTTAGTTTGATGCTCCCCAAACTGCATGAGATACACCCTAAAATTACAAATTAAAATTCTGGGTCAGACTTTGTCATAATCCTGAACTCGATATAGCTGTCTGAAGTAGCTGGCAAGTTTGTCTTTTAATTTCCACCTTGGCTTATATAATCAGATGACATGAGACGTGTGTATGCTGACCAAACTACAAGAAACTTTAAATAGTGCTAAAGAGAACAGACCTAGAATTCGAGCATGTTACATGGAATTTATAACAAAGCAACTGCTTCCATAGTAATACTGATGTTACCTTTCAGACACAGGTATTGGAACCATAGCAGAAGTTCTAGAACTACAACTTACGTACACAACTAGAGTGTCAGTTAAATGAAATACTGGCTTCTAAATACCCATTTTCTCCAGCCATATTACATTTTGCAATATTACATCAAGCAAGCCAGAAGTAAATAATGTTGATTTCTTTCATCCACAAGCAGTGCATGCTAGTCCCTAGGTGAAAGGCCCTGCTTTAAAAAAAAAAAAAAAAAAATTATGTTCATCTGTGAAGCTTATTTGGTATACTGGAGCCTTTTCTAATCTTTCTCTGGGGGATCAGGCCATAGAACTGTGTTAGAGGTGAACCATCTTAATTACTAGTTCTGTAACCTAATTAAGCTTCCTTGTTTGGTCTGCTACTGGATCTGCCTTGTTCCAAATGCCATGCAACAGACAATAGTGTTAAAGTTTCAATGTGAACAAAGTAATGCAGTTCAGAGAAGCATAATCTAACCCATAAATTTTTCTCCAGCCTTTCCTACATTTGAACTTGCTGTTGACTAAATTATGATTTATTTATGTCTTTGGTAAGCTTCTGTTAATTTCCATGACTTGAGCTAATCGCTGTGTCTATTGCACAGATTGGGTAATGGAACACTAAACTTTTATACTTGAAAATGACAGCCTTAAATGCTCGTATCAGTCACAAATCTAGGATGTACTGTCTTGTATGTGAGCTTTGTAGAGATTTTTAAAAATATAAGCATCATCTTCCCCACTGAAGAGTGGAAAAGTCTACTGGATAACTAGTCAGGATCTTTCTCTCCGAACTGGACAGTGGATGTCTTCCTTCTCCCAAAAAGTGATGGTTCATATTAAGTACCATGGCCTTATGTGTGTTCAAACAGAATCTTTATGTAACTTTCTCATTTAATTTGGGTCGGTTAATTATTAGCTATTTTTAGATACAACTGAAAGGAATTGCATAAGTCAATTAGTATATTAACTAAGTTGTCCAACACATGGTATAAAGGAATTAAGACAGTAAAGTATTATACGTTTCCAACTGGCCTTTGGGGATTTGATGGGGACTTTTTTTTTTTCTTCAAATTCACCTCTGAAGCTTTTCATACTTGGTTTACTAGCCAATTAAAGTTAAAGTCTAGAATTTGATATGCCCTACGAGAAATGGACTAGGAATCCGGAAACACAAACTCTGGTGTCACTGTTTCCTGCCTGGGCCTCAGTTTCTTCATCTATAAACATGGGAGGTAGAACGAGAGGACCTCCAACATCTCTCCCATTTATCAACTCTTATGATTCTCTTCTTTCTTATTCACAGTATTCACTGTTGGACATTACCTTTTCAGCTGCACATTAAGATGGTAAAAATCCTGTATATAGATTATTAGAACTCTAAGCAAAGATGATTGTATCATCTGAACCTGAGGTGCCTTAGGTACTCTATTGACCTTGATGGGGTTTGGAGTTTCCCATTGCTTATTAAGAGCCTTTTCATTGCTTTGATTCCTTAGTATTTCTTTTTGCACTCAATCCTTCCTGCCACCCTATAAAAACCAAAGATTTGTTTTCTATTCATGAGCAGATTGTAGAAAAATTGCCTTATTTTCAGAAGCACGTCCTCATTAAAGACTTAAGTTTCAGCAGAAATTGAGACTAATCACTGGAGCAACTAGTTCAAAGTAGTCAAATATCTGGGAAATAAAATACTTCAAAAATATCTTACTGACATGAATTTTGCTAGTCAATGCAAATACATTGCTTCAAATAAGGTCATGTATGAATGAACTTAACGTACAGTTATTTTTTTTTTTTGCATATAATCAGTTCTGAAATTCTTAAAAATAATTTTAGGGGCTCCCTGAAGTCTTATTTCTAATACTTTGCTAACTTGTGCCCTTATTCTGTTTCTACAGATACATTTTAGGTTAGCCCATGTTGAATGATCTTATTTCCAGTAAGTAGAGCCTGAATTAATGGTTTTTATTGTGAATTAGTTACTTTAGGCGTTGCTTCCATTTGATTTTTAATTATTACTCTTAAGTACCAAATTAAATAACTGGTTTGTTGGTTGTTGTTTTTTAAGTGATTGTTACTTTAACAGTGTCCCATCTTAACACATGGGGTTATAAATAAAATAATATGCATAGTTTACTATCTATGTAAAGCATTGAACTTCTTACCTTAGTAGTTTTTATTTAACACCCTATGTAAACGTTTGGGGTAATACTCATTCTTGTTTCTCAAGCTGTGAGTCTAATCACCAGCCAAGTGTGAGCACCTGCACTTTGTTAAAAAAGCACATTGTCAAAGTGTAGCGAGAATAATAATCCCTCATGAATCCTATCCAAATTCCAATTTGGGTCACTAAATTCTACTTGAGTCACTTTTGTAATTTCAGTACGGCTCTTCGTTTCCAAACATACGCACACACACGCACGTTCCTTACACAGCCGCCGTACTGCACCTCCAGTGATGTGCTGAGATGAGTTTAAAAGTTGTGTTTAATGAGGGGTGGAGGCTTAGAACACTTGCTATTTATTCAATTCTTAAGAAATCCATGCCATCAGCAAGTTAAAATGTTGGACTGGCTTTGAAGACTATTTGCTAGTCATGAATCAGGCTTTCCTGCTTGACTTTCCTGGAATAAGGAGCCCTTAACTGTGACACAGTTTGTTAAAGGAGAATTTCTTCATATATGGGCAACCTTTCTGATTTTTTATTCCCAGGATAGGGAATGGCAAAAGGAGCAGCCGAAGGGAGCTGGCGGAGGCTGCCCACTAAATCACCTTTCCTCTAAGGTTTTCATGATTGAATTTCCTACTAACCTTCTTACAAATGCTTTAAAAAATGTAAAACTACACAATGGCAACAGATCTCATATTGACTTATCGAACCATCTTAGCTTCATCTTGCATTTTCATACTGAGATCTTGGGGTTTTCCATTTAGAACTGGGTACTTGTCTTACACATAGAGATGTTTCTATTTAACATTCTTCATGCCACAAGTAGGCTTAAGAAACAAAAACAACTGGTATCATCTACTGAACAGACAATCCAACTGCAATGCTACAAACATTTCTCCAAATTACAGTCATCTGAGATGGCTATATATAATTATCTTGTTTTGTTTAAGGAAAATAGAAAACTCAAAGACATTCATGTAAAGGAACTCATTCACAAGTGTTTGCCACTACAATTACTGTCTTCTTTTTATCCAGTTTTTTATAAATTAAAAAATTCTTAACCACTAAATGGAAAGGAAAAAAAAAACCCGTTGCATAACAAAAGATAATTTATCATGCAAGTGGGTAAAATTATTACAATTACTGTTAAAAAACCTATTTTAAAAAATGAAGAGCTACATCACATGAACAAAGTGTCTTGCTTAGAGTACTATACTATTATCCTTTCTCGAAACCAATTGACTCCTTAACAACATTGTTTTTTCATCACTTAAACCAAAAAAGGTCAGTGTTCTCTTCAAATACTCAGCATTAAGAAAGGCCTAATATTATAGGGTCTGGGTACGTGGTACCACCAAAAAGTTGTGTTTCTCTCAGAAATAAAACAGTTTCACCCTAATAAGCTGAAAACCGATTTCTCAATAAATACAGATTTAACTTTGTATGTTTTCTCTGTTAAACAAATCCATGTTATTGATGGTTGAAAGACATTTCAAAATTATACAAGCTTATTTCCACCTGAAGACCACACTGCTCTCTTCTGATCAGGCATTACTGATATATCTATGTAGTGTTGGGACTTTTCAAAACATGTTCTAAGTAGTACAGAATAATGATTTCAGAATACTACTTTTTGTATTAGACTAGATTTGAGTCTCAGCTCTGCCATTTATTAAATATGTGACCCTGCGCAAGTCACCTAACCTCTCTGTACCTTGGTTTCTCATCTGTGAAATGAGGATCATCATAAAACCCACCTCACGGGGTTGCTGTACTGATTAAATGAGATAATGAGAAAATACACTAAGCAGCTCTGAGAACCATACCTATAACAGTATCTGGCACATGGCACATGTGAGCTATAAATTGGTAATTTTTAGTCCATATTCCTAACAGACATATAAGTTGTCATTACAATCTAGAACACCATTATTCCCCAAATACACCATCTCTAAAGCTATTAAAAAATTCCTCCCCAAATTTTAAATTGTAGTTTAAAAAACTGTATCTAGGGGTGCCTGGGTGGCTCAGTCACTGAAGCGTCCAACTCTTGATTTCGGCTAAGGTCATGATCTCAGGTTCCTGAGATTGAGCCCTGTGTCAGGCTCTGCCCTGAGGGTGGAGCCTGCTTAAGATTTTCTCTCTGTCTCCCTCTGCCCCATCCCCCCTCTAAAAAAAAATAAATAAAAATAAAAACTACATCTAACAGGATTCATGTTTCCTTCTTGTCAAACATGATCCACAGATTTTGTATGTATATATCATACCATTTCAGGGGCTCAAAGACCCCCATCTATAGACTCCTGGTTAAGAATCCCTGTATTCTTGGGACACCTGGGTGGCTTAGTCGTGAAGCGTCTGCCTTTGGCTCAGGTCATGATCCCAGGATTCTGGGATCGAGCCCCGCATCAGGCTCCCTGCTCAGTGGGAAGCCTGCTTCTCCCTCTCCCACTCCCCCTGCTTGTGTTCCCTCTCTCGCTATGTCTCTCTCTGTCAAATAAATAAATAAAAAATCGTAAAAAAAAAAGAATCCCAGTATTCTTCATCACTCAACCCTAACAAGTACTTTTATTAACTGTTCTGGTTGTCAAAATAATACAGTGACCCTCTACATTTTGGTTCAGAATTTTAAGGATCAATTTCAGTAATGTAGATGGCATTTATTTGTTGTTATGTGATTTGAGAGTAAAAGGCTTAAATCTATTTTAATTATAATCTGCACAGTTATTACTTCGGTTCCTTTAACATGTATTAGATGCAAGTAGATTTTTAATCTTGTCCTGTCACCGAAATGATACCCACAGGTTTCTGATGCTACCACAGAACAGCTAGTACGGTATGTCACTGAGCCTGGCAGTTTCTGAGCTATTGCAGGTGTCTTAAAATGATGAAGAGGTGTTTGAAATTAGACGACGATTTCTTCTGAAGTTAGTTTCAGATAGTCAACGAAAGTTTTAAAATAATTGTATATAAACATTAGGCTACTTTTAAAAATACTTCCTATTTCACTTACGAGCTCTACTTTGCTTTTCTGGGAAGTAGCACAGTCAGTGGGGTGAGAATGAGCTGAGCTGCGGAGCCAGGCCAGCCACTTACTGACTGTGTGGCCTTGGCCAGATCACTTACCAACAGAGCCTCAGTTTCCCAATGTGCAAAACAGGGATAACAGTCCCTCTTGTCCTTAAAACGTGGGGCTACTGTATTACTTTAGAATTTGTCATGAAAGCTGTAAAGTACCATGCATCAGTATTATTTTGTATATGTTTTAGCTGGAAAAAACTAAACTTACGTGATCACCGATCTAAGTATTTCTTAGGTGATGGACACGAGTAGGTGATAATCAGAAGTGGCGGTTTAGAACAAATAAAATAGTTCATGAGCAATGTCATACTGTGCTGTAGGAACTATTCCCTTGCCCTGGTAATCCTCTTTAATACATGCCATTCTTCACACGAAATGTCTGGGGAGTATAAAGCTTATAAGAAAACTCTCAAAAGCCACACAACACACGGCATTGTATCAGCCATATGTAGCCTCACCTCAGAAATAGAAGGGCATTTCCTGCGCCTTGCTGTTATTTTTTATAAATTTTAAGAAGTGTAATACAAAAACTGATTTTAAACCCACCACGTGGTAGACATTTGTATCATTTTTAATAGTCTCATATGAATGACTCCATTCATTCAAAACTATTGAGCCCCTACTATGAACCAAGCAGTTAAATTGAAACTAAGATTATCTGATTTTGGATATTTAATTTTAACAACAAATTCCTAAAAAATAAGTGCTGTGATATAATTTTTGGAAAGATATAGAATGTTGCAGATATCATATGGAAACTGTTCTGTCTGCGGATCAGAAAACCTAAAAACAGAACAACTCACAGTCATTAGGATTACTGGCTCTTTCGGATAAAAAAAGGAAGCTAGTTCGAGGCAGCTAGTTCTAAATTTCTCATAAGCTACTTTTTAGTGTTTATTGTGCTTATCACAAATGTGTGTTGCATGACAGAATTCATCTTTCAAAGCCTGCTGACACTTCTACTGGCTTTAAATGATGATTTATATGTTCCTCTGTAATGGACTGTAAGTGAGGTGTTTTTCTCGATCTTCTTAACGTAAATGCTATTGTCTGATGTAGGAATACTTCATAGATGAATCTACTCATCTGGACACATTTCTCTGGTTGTAAATCTGCCCCAATCCAGGTGTACTCTACCCACTCTCCCATGACCAGAGCACAGATTTAGGAAGAGCTATTTGCAGACAGGTGTGTGGTCTCCAATCTGGAAGTTCTTGTGAAAGTAACGCTACATGGTCAAGATCGTACAAATAAGTTAACCTGGCTAGCACTATTCTTTCTCACATGAAAGTCCTGCCAGCAGAGCATTATCAGCATGATTACCATACAACCCACCTTTTAAATACAAAACCATTTTCTGTCAGGTAAGTATTACAGGTTTTTTTTCCATGCTTGAAACATAAATCATATTCATATAAGTTAGTATTTTATTTTGGTCTGTCTATAACACTGTATAATACCTTTGATAAAAGAAACACAATTAACCTAAAAACATGCCACTCTTCAATAATTAAATTTTTATCCCTCGCTCTAACAATATTTCCAGTAATCCTTATGATCCCCAGCTTCAATTTATGAGTTATCTGTAGCATCTGTGACTTTAGAAAATGAATATACATTTTCACAAATATTAAATTTGTAACCTGATAAAACTGGAGAAAACAAAGATTTTAACATACAACGATGCCTTAATTATCTGTCATGGGAATAAGTACAACTATTTTTAAACAATTTTAAATTGCTTAAAAAAAGTCTTAAATCAATTTTGCTTTTAACTTTACAGAAAGTAAGTACACTCAAAAGAGATGTGATTATCTGGGTCAACTCCATTTTAGAGGCAGCGGCACTCCAGGGCTTAAAGGCAGCTGTGGGTTTACTAGGCACAAAAGCTTTGCACACTAACTTCAAATTCTCTCTGACAAACGTATTAAATTGTATGGTCTGAAATACATGCACCACAGTGGTCATGGCATTTATATGAAATTCTTATGTGTGGGAAGAAATGCAATACAATAACTACTCAAGCTTTTCCAAAGAGATCTAAACTATGGCCTTTAAAAAAAAGAGAGAGAAGGAAATCAGGAAAGGAAAGGAAGGAGAGAAGGAAGGAAGGAAAAGGAAAAGGAAGAAGAAAAGTTATGTTTCAGAGTCCCCAGCAAGGAAGAGAATCAGGTTTGGATCCTAAGGCTTTCTTTTATCGGCCCAGTAATGTTGAGCAACATGTGTACTCCTCTCCTCACACTTTGACATTCTTATGTGTGAAAAACCCACCTTGCACTACACTTGTTATGATTAAGTTACCTGTGGACAGTGCCAAGCCCCATGCCTGGTACATACATAGAGAGATCTACACATTTTATATTTTCTTTCTATTGCCATCTGAAATGTCGGACAGAATTGAAAACTATGTGAAATCCAATACCTTAAATACCAAAGAACAAAAAGATGAATTAAACAATCCACTCTACCAACTGAAGGACTGGCAGGCAGAATAAATAAATAACTCAAGGTGGCAATCAATGCACTTTCTAACACTTTGAGAACCCAAATAATGGAATTTGCATTTTTTTTGTAATGCTAAAAATACAGTCATTAAACGACTCCTTTTATAGTCACAAATGCCTATAACATTGATTAAGCAGTAACTATGTGTCAAGTTCTGAACTAAGTACTTTGGAAGGATTATATTATTTAATCCTCACTAGTAAGTGGCAGAGCCAGGATCTGAACCTAATAATCTGATGCCAGAGCTCTTAATCATCGTGTTATCTGTCTACCTAGTAATAAAACAAGTGGGTTTAAAAACTTTATGACAAATTTCCTTTGCTCAGAATAACCAACAACATTTCTTAAATTTCCATTAATTTTTTTTTATCAACATGAAATACTGGCCTATTTCTGATAAAGGAAAGAATTATACCACTTTTCCAGATGAAAAGCTCATAACTATTCTATAAAATATTTAGAGCATATTAAATCTGAACCTTAATTATTGTTACCAAATAATTAAAGTCCAGTCCTGTATAATATTTAAATACCTGTTATACTTACATTGAATATATGCTTTGTACAGAGTAAGAACTTAAATACTTACTAATTAGCTATTTAGTTACTTACAGCAAATAGTTATAATGTACAGAGGTTTTCCACAGTCAAAATGTTTATTTTGTCAGTAACTATAAAACCATGAGCATTTCCTGGGAGTGAAGGAGGCTGTCTGGGTTATGGGCAATTTAAATGTTTATTTTCTTGCTGATTTTAAGGCAAATAATTAAGGCAGGGAAGAGAAGATGTCTTGCAAATATTTTTTTAAAAGACAACAAAAATGACCAACAAGGTTATGGGTAGCCACCCTACCATA